TTTCTCTTTATTCAGGGGATTTCCGCACCAAGGGTGTGGGATGCAGACAGGAAGCAACTGATATTAAATTTGGATACTCAGCCCAGTTTGAGTTACCATATGAACAGTTTGATGGGGTGGTGAAAATTGAGGAATGCTCTATGTGCTCCTCCACCCTGAACAGTGTAACCATGTCTTGTTCCCTTTGAAAGCTGGACAGGATGCGCAATGACTGTTTCACTGTGGGTTGCAGTTCATCTTGTATGCGCTTAACTGACACACCGGAAGGAAGTTCTAGGGTATCAATGTCATTGCTGTCTTTGATTCACGAGTCAAGGATTTGAGACCGCCTCCCACCATGCAGTGCACAGGGAGTAATACAAAAGCTGTTTGTCCATCTCTCTATTTGACCTTGGTGGCCCTCACTAAATTTGGGAGAAGGTAGGGTGCAACACCTCTGCTAATTTCCAGAGACCCTTCCTCCTGAAAAACTCAAGAAAATGAAAATAATCAGGGATGCTCCCTACCAGCAGAGGGTGCACACATCCCACACATAACTAAGGATTTCTCTGATGAAGTTGAATTTTAATATAAAATATTTTGTCTATGTTATGTAAAATGAATGCATTAAAAAACTGAAATTTAGGGCCTGGAGAGATAGCACAGCGGGTTGGGCATTTGCCATGCACGCGGCTGACCCTTGTTCGATTCCCAGCATCCCATATGGTCCCCCGAGCACTGCCAGGAGTAATTCCTGAGTGCAGAACCAGGACTAACACCTGAGCATCGCTGGGTATGACCCAAAAAGCAAATAAAATAAAATAAAAATACATAAATAAGTAACTGAAATTTAGCCTTCTCAAAAATCAAAGTGGATACATATATGACACTTCTAGTGCTCCCATGGGTGAGATACCAACGAATTGAAGGTGACATCTCTATCCATCAGGAAACACAAAGGATAGCCTTGATGATTCCATACACCTGACTTCTAACAAGACCTCTTAGAATATCTCCTATCGGTGGGAAATCTCCATCCTGCCCAGGCCAGCCTCCCACAGGGAAATGGTCTCAGAGGTCAAGTAAGAAATGAAACGGGGATTAATGAGCAGAGTCGGGGAGGCTGTAAATATCTCCTGTTCTGCTCAGCTCTTCAGTTGGTTCAGCCTGGGCTGCTCAGGATAGAATTGCTGTGGAATTGTGAGTGTGTTGGAATTGTGAGTGTGTTGCGGGAAGCCAAGTTTGCATCCTTCCTGCTGATCCAGCCGGCTACCATCTCCATCTTCAACCATTTAAGGAGTAATTTGGGTTTCCACTCAGTATTTTTCTTGCAGCCTCACTCAGGTGAGTAAACACTGCAGTGATGCCGTAAATGCGCATGGTGTAAATGATGCAGGGGAAGGTGGGAGAGAATGAAAAGTGAGAACACTGCTTGTCTCGGATGGATGCCAGGATGCACAGATAATGGCTTTTGTGGATGCTCTGGATGATGATTTGACTAATCAAAATTGATGCATTACTTGCAGAGACCCAAAGGTAAGACTGCATTCAGTGAAAGTAGAGGGTCTGAGGGAAATGCAGAAATGACCCTGAGCACTGAGCCAGGAGTGCCTCCCCAAAATGGAAAGATAAGCTGAAATCTTGGTGCTTCTATTTTTTTTCTTTTGGGGTCACACCCGGCGATGCACAGGGGTCACTCCTGGCTCTGAACTCAGGAATTACCCCTGGTGGTGCTCAGGGGACCATATGGGATTCTGGGAATCAAACCTGGGTCGGCCACGTGCAAGGCAAACGCCCTCCCCGCTGTGCTATTTTTTGCTCCAGCTCCTTGCATTCAAGTATCATTAGCATTGTTTAGTTTTTGTGTCCTCCCTACAGCTGAGGGATGGCACCTCACTTACCACCTTCTTTCCTTTCCTAGCACTCAGAATGAATTTCCCTCTGGCCAGAGAGATAAGAACAGTGGGAAGTGCTCATGCTTTATCTGACACAGACATTTATCTGTGCATCCTGGCATCCATCCGAGACAAGCAGTGGTCTCACAGCCAGCCTAGGTTCAGTGAGCCTCACCAGCAGGGATCCCTTAGTAGAGTGAGGAGAAAGTCCCGAGTACAGCAGGCTGTGGCCCCAAAACAAAAAGAATGAATGTCCATCTAAACCCCAGGTGCAATTGGATTTATTTATTATTTAGATAACCCTCCCCCCCCCCACGCCTCCACCTAGCGATAGCACAGCGGTAGGGCGTTTGCCTTGCACGCAGCCAACATGGCTGATGCGAGTTCGATTCCTCCGCCCCTCTCGGAGAGCCCGGCAAGCTACCGAGAGTATCTCGCCCGCACGGCAGAGCCTGGCAAGCTCCCTGTGACGTATTTGATATGCCAAACACAGTAACAACAAAGTCTCCAATGGAGAAGTTACTGGACCCGCTCGAGCAAATCAATGAACAACGGGAGGGCCTTTACCTTTTACCTTTAGATAACCCATATTAGTTCCTGGTATGGAAGTCAGACATTTGATGATGTTTTAAGGGGGGTTACAAATATTACATATTTGCCAATACAGCCAAATAGTTTGTTGACTAAAATGGTTTTTTTTTCCAGATTGATTATGTTCAGAGAGAAAAGGGAGGGGCGATTCCTAGAGCTTTTTAGTTGCAATATTACGGAGAGTGGGTGGAAGCTAGGGATGCTCTGATCATCCTCCAGGTTCCCAAGTGTGATCAAGATAGAGATTCAGTTGCCCTAAAAACTGAGAAATTTATTGTTAACATTAAAATATCTTCATTTTTTAAAAATTTTTCTTAGGGCTGGAGCGATAGCACAGCGGGTAGGGCGTTCGCCTTACAAGCGGCCAACTTGGCCGACCCGAGTTCGGTTCCTCCGCCCCTCTCGGAGAGCCCGGCAAGCTACCGAGAGTATTCGATATGCCAGACACAGTAACAACAAAGTCTCCAATGGAGACGTTACTGGGCCCGCTCGAGCAAATCGACGATCAACGGGAGGGCCTTTACCTTTACCTTTTCTTAGTGAAACACCATGAGGTACAGTTGTAGACTTACAAATTTTTGTGCTTGGGTTTCAGTTATACAATGATCCAGTACCCATCCCTCCACCAGTGCCCATTCTCCATCATTTACATTTAAAAAAATTTTTGTTAATGAAACACCATGAGGTAGAATTGAAGATTTACAAATTTTTGTGCTTGGGTTTCAATTGTACAATGACCAAACAGTCATCCCTCCACCAGTGTCCATTTTCCACCACCACGGGTCCCAGTATCCCTCCCACCCCCCATCCCCCCATCCCACCCTGCCTCTGTGGCAGGGTTATTCCCTTTTGTTCTCTCTCTCTTTTGGGGTGTTGTGGTTTGCAAAAGAGGCATTGAGTGGCAATCGTGTTTGGTCTATAATCTACTTTCAGCATGCATCTCCCATCCTGGGAGGATCCTCCCAACACCCTTTATTTGGTGCTCCTTTCTCTATCTGAGCTCCCTTTTCCCCTAGCATGTGTGGCTGGCCTCCAAGCCATGGAGCAAATTCCTGGTACTAATCTCGGCCACTCTTGGGTGTTAGTCTCCTATTTTGTTACTTTATGTTCCCCAGATGAATGCAATCTTTCTATGTCTATTCCTCTCTTTCTGACTTATTTCGCTTAACATGATACTTTCTATGTAGTACCAATTGTATGTAAATTTCATGACTTCATCTTTTCTAACAGCTACAGAGTACTCCACTGTATAGATGTGAAATATCTTCAAATTGTTAATCCAATGTGTACCTCTTCACAATCCTGCCAAAGAGTTACCTGCTCTTTGCTATTAGAATTCTAACCCAACCCATGTATCATTCATAGTTATTCATAATAGTTTCAGGCATATGATGGTCCAACACCATCTCACCACCAGTGTCCGCTTCCCTCCATCAATATCCCCAGGTTTCTCCCCACCCCACATTTGCCTCCTTGACAGGTACATTTTTAAGTTTGATTGCTGTAGTTTGGATCTCTTGCTTGCAGTATTGTTGGCTCTGTTGTTTACAGAGCCTCTTCCTCCTCCTCCTCCTCCTCCTCATCCTCCTCCTCCTCCTCTTCCTCCTCCTCCTTCTAGTCTTCCTCCTTCTCCTCCTCCTTCTCCTCCTTCTTCTTATCCTCGTCATGCTCCTCCTTGTCCTCCTCCCTCTCCTCCTCCTTCTTCTCCTCTTCTTCCCTGCGGAGGGCCCACAAAACCACTCTCCGGCCCCCGGAGGTGGCCCTAGGATCCGTAGGTGCAGGGAAGGAGCAACCGAATGAACACAAGACACAAGAGACAGAGTATTGTTTAGAAATAGAGAGAAAAAGGGACAGGCTTTATTGAGGGATTCAGGCTGTTTATATAGGGTCGGGGCAGCTCAGTCAGGAGCAGAAGCAATATAACCATATATGGTAAGGTCAGCAACAAGAGCTTTACCTAACATTCAAGGTAGACATTTGTACATCAAAGGATCTTATGGCAGTAGGTGCATCCTGAGCTTCACATTTGTATATCAAAGGGTCTTAGGGCAGTAGATGCATCCTGGAGGTTACTATAGATAAGACCAGATAAGATAACTGTCAGCCTGATGTTATTTGCTATAGATCAGGCATCCACTGAGGTCAGGAAGTCCTGGGAGACTGTCACCAATGTCTGTCCCAAGCAGTTCCTAACATGGGAACCATGGCCAGGGTCTATGAGAGGGCTCTTGGCTTTCCACACTTACCCCTCCTCCTCCTTCTCCTCCTTGTCCTCCTCCTCCTCCTCCTCCTCCTCCTCCTCCTCCTTGTTGAAATGCTGAAAAAGAATCCCTAGAGAAACAAGGTATATTCATAGGATAAAGTTAATTTCTAGAGTTTGTATAAAGACGTCCGTATATTTTAAAGAATGAATTTTTTCTTTTGAATGTAGTAATGTTTGTAATCTAGCATAACCTCAATAATTTTTTTTAAATGTTTGTAATGCTGTGTACATGAAAAACAATCATATGCTTTGCCTTTAGACCTATCCACTTCATGGAATCTGGGAATGTGACCAGAAATAGAGAATTTCTTCTTCTAGGATTTTCTGAGGAACCAGAAGATCAGCCCCTCATCTTTGTGCTTTTCCTTTTCATGTACCTGATCACTGTGCTGGGGAACCTGATCCTTATCCTGGCTGTCCGCTCAGACCTCCACCTCCACACGCCCATGTACTTCTTCCTGCCCAACCTGTCCCTTGTGGAGATCTGCTTCACCTCCACCACCATCCCCAAGATGCTGGTGAACATCCAGACACACAGCAAGGCCATCACCTATGAAGGCTGCCTCACCCGGATATACTTTTTCATTGCCTTCGGAAGCCTGGATGATTTAATCCTGACAGTGATGGCCTATGACTGCTTTGTGGCCATCTGCCACCCCCTGCATTACACGGTCATCATGAACCCCCGGCTGTGTGGGCTGTTGGTCCTGGTGTGCTGGACCATGAGTACCCTGGATTCCTTGTTAGAAATCCTCATGGTGTTGCCACTGTCCTTCTGTGCACGCGTGGAAATTCCTCACTTTTTCTGCGAACTCAATCAAGTGGTCCACCTAGCTTGTTCTGACACTTTTTTTAGTGACTTGGTGATGTATTTGTCAACTGTGCTCCTAGGGGTTGGTCCCTTCGCTGGCATCCTTTACTCTTATTCTAAGATTGTTTCCTCCATCCGCAGAATCTCCTCAGCTCAGGGCAAGTTTAAAGCCTTTTCCACCTGCGCGTCTCACCTCTCCGTGGTCTCCTTGTTTTATGGCACAGTCCTAGGTGTGTACCTGAGCACTGCTGTGACAGAGAACTCACAGAGTACTACAATTGCCTCCGTGACTTACACCGTGATCACCCCCATGCTGAACCCCTTCATCTACAGCCTCCAGAACAAAGAAATCAAGGGTGTTCTGTCATGTCTCTTTGGGAAGAAACAATGAAACGGAACTTTTTCTGTACTGGTTAACTGCATCAATTCAGAGCTCAAATCTTGAGAATAAGAAATTGTGGTCCATTAAATCAGTGTCAGCATGCTACACAAATGGCAACGATCCAACTTTAAAGTTTGTCTGTTAAGGAGATGAGGGGTCAGGAAAGTAACCTGGGGCATTGGCGGGGTGTCAATGTTGTTCTTGGAGGTGAAGTATTTTATGCCTGAAACTCTATTGTTGATGGCCTTGTAAACCCAATGGCACCAAATTTCAAAAAAAATCTTTTAAATGACAAGGAAGAGAAAGAGACTAACTTTTCTTTCTTTGTTTCTTATATCTAGCCGTGTATTAAAAATTCTTAATTTAAAAAATCTGAGTATAGACCATTTCCCTTCTGTTAAATTTTTATCTTCTCTTGATAGATATATGAAGACTTTACCCTCCATCTCTCCTCTCTTTGAGGTACAGATCTATATTTTCCAATCTATTCTTAGATTTCAAATATAGATGATGCCATTTTTATGAAATACTGGGAAATTAACATTGAATTATGACAACATGGAATTCGGGGGGAGGGGGTACACCTGGCCGTGCTCAAGATTTACTCCCATGTCTGCACTGAGGTGTCACTCCTGATAGTCTCTGGGGACCATGTAGGGTGCTGGGAATCTAACCCAGGTCAGCCACATGCAAGGCAACCCAGCCAATTGTACTATCTCTCTGACCCACATATGGATTTCTTAGAAACACTTTGTTCTTCAATGACCTGCACGCTCCCTTTTGAAATGAGTGTAGGGTGTTGCCAATAGACTAGTGACAAGGTGTAATACAACTAAAGAAAAGAGATATATTTCACAACCAGGAACTTTCTATAATTTTATAAAAATGGAAAATTTAATTCCATATTTTTCCTTTTGGGGAAAATCATGCTGTTGATTTTCCATAGGTGTGTCATTGATTCACTCTGCTTCCTGTTGTGTAGACATCAGTTCTCAAGGTCATGGATCTAATCTCCTCACTAGGATCCGGGTCTCCTCCAGTCCACATCTCTCTCATCTACCAGAGTCACTCTATCTGCTTCAGACTTCCAATACTCTTGGCAATCGTGACTTTTTTCTTTGTTCACAGTGGACTATCTCTGGTTTTAATCAAAGACTATAAAGATTTTGAGTAAACAACATCATGTAAAGTCTATATAAGACATATGGTAACTGCTTGCTTCAAAATTCTGCCAGGGACCAGGCCCTGATGAATAGGTCTGAAGGAGAGACAGAGAGAGATAGAGACAGACAGAGAGAGAGAGAGGGAGAGAGAGAGAAAGAGAGAGGAGAGACACAGAAAGACAGACAGACGGAAAAACAGAGATATAGAGACAGAGATACAGAGACAAAGAGACAGAGAGATAGAGGGAGACAGAGAGAGACAGCGGGGCCAGAGGCCTTAGAGTCTCAGACTACAAGCCCCTACTGACCTCCATATACAGTATTTATTGATGAGAGTCAATAATTATTAATGTTGTTCTTCATCAGAAGAACAACATTCTTAGGTCAAAGGCCTAACTATCTTTAATCTCCTTGGGCTAGAACTTACCCATCCAAAATCTTGAGTCTACCAGGACAAACATCATTTTAGATGGCACTATCCAAGAAAGATTCTTCAGTGAAGGAGGGCAGATATAAAGTAGTCACAGGAAGGGGTATGGTGTCACCAGCAGGTCAACCTGTACCTGGTGGGCGGGGGCGAGTACATCAGCAGGCTGATGGTGCCTTCAGACTTCCTGATATTTCCAAATTGCCACTGTGCCTTTGGCCGGACCCCAACAACTTGGGATCAAGTTTAGCAAAAAGTTAAATGGTTAAAAGTTAGGTATGTGGGAGACACACCCACAAACCACCTCTGGCCCAGCTATATAAGCTCAACACAGGCAAGGGAAGGCTTGGAATAGGGGTGGAAGGTGGTGGTAAGACTGGGGATTTTGGCAGTGGAAAATGGGCACTGGTGAAGGGATGGGTGTTTGATGATTGTATGATTGAAGCTCAAACATGAAAGCTTTGTAACTGTATCTCATGATGAATCAAAAAAGGGGGGGGAATAATAAAACAATAAAATAAAATTAACATTCAGAATAGAATTAAAAGAAAAGTAATGTGGAGATCAGACACTGTGCAGATCACACAACTGCTTCTCCCGAAAGGGAGAATAACATGAGGACATCATAACCATGCCACCGGACTCCATGCTGGGCTGTTTCACATGGGGCTCCCCAGAGGGGGACGGGTGAGAGCCCTCCCCACCCCAAGTGACTCAGACCCAGTAGCCAAAAACCTCCACAACCCAACCACTGCCTTGTTCAAGGCCACTCCCCACGTGCTTGGGCTAAGCCTCACAAAAGAGTAAACATATTCCTGGACCGTGCGGCCACTTTTGCAGCTGCGCAGCACATCATAAAACACTCTCATTATCCATAATTACCACACCACATTTCATGGGGTTCAGATAGTAAGCAACAAATAATAGAGGGAAATATATCACTGTATCACTGTCATCCTGTTGTTCATCCATTTCCTCAAACAGGTACCAGTAACGTCTCCTTCACCCTAGCCCTGAGATTTTAGGAAGTGCCACATTCGAGGCTCTTTCAGGTCAGGGAAATGAGACCCATCATTGTTACTAGTTTTTGGCATATTGAATATGCCACAGGGAGTTTGCCAGACTCTGCCGTGGGGGCAGGATACTTTTGGTAGCCTGCTGGGTTCTCCAGAGTAAGAACTAGATAATAAGATGTCGTGTGGCCACAAATGCTGCCACATGCTTCCGGGACCTGGGTTTTATAGTCTCTGAGTCTTGGCTGTTGATGGGATTACACAGCGCCAGGGGCAGTTGGTGGGTGTAATGCCTACCTACTGGAAGATGGGGGATCTGTTTAGAGGAGGCCCAGTCCCAATTCAAGCAGGCTTGGAGATCTCAGCCCCGGGTCTCGCATGCCTGGGTTCCTCTGTTTGTTTCCTTCATGCGTGAGGCTCATCCGAACATGTGAAGAATGGTTTCAGCATGATTGTGGCTGGTTCCGGAGGTCTTCGGCTGCTGGGGCTCTGCTCGGGGTGGGGAGGGAAGCTCAACCCGCCCCTCTCCAAGGGGCCTCAGTGAGAACAGCCAGGCACGGGGGCAGGAGACTGTGCTGTTCTCTTGAAGGAGCTGGGTTTTATAGTCTCTGGGTCTTGGCTGGTGGTGGGATTACATGGCAACGATGGCAGTTGGTGGGTGTAAAAAATATATATATATAAATATTTTCAGATATATACCAAAGCTCACATCACCCAAACTTTAATAGCATGTTATTGATATACTATAGAATGTCTTAATAGTTCCTGTCAAAATAGGACAATCTTCACACTGTTTCCTATATAAACACTTTTTTTGTAAGCATGTTCAGCAGTTATTCATAACAGATAATATTAAATATACTATTTATGTTGTGTTTTGGGACAGGGATTGGGGCTTGGGATGGAAAATCCCTAATTTGGTGGTGGGAAGGTGTAATGGTCGTGGGATTGGTGTTTGAATATTGAATGTAGTCAAGCATTGTGAACTAACTTATAAAATTAAAAAATTAAAACAAAAAGTAATGTGGAGTTCACACGCAATTCAATCAGTTTCAGTGCTTCTATATTAAAATTAATAAATAGATAAAATAAAGTAGACCCAGGGTCCCTTCCAGGGCAGCCTTCCACCCCAGGGAATCAGCATTCTGTTTCAAAGCCCCACCAACTCCTCATCCTGTCTGTGTGTTTCATCTGTCTAGTCCCCAATATCTTCAGCTCTCCAGAGGTCCAGAAAATGAAGGACACCTAGTGACTGTCCAGCAAGCTGGCCTTGGCAGTCCTTAGAGATATTTTTGGCTTAATTTATTAGTTGAGTCTCACCTTTCCCTGGCGCCCATCCCAGGGCCATTGTAGGGCATTCTTTAGGAGTTAACAGATAACTTGGAAAAAAGACTGGGGTATTTCATAGCCTTGTCCAGAGGGTGATGAGCAATGAGCAGCATCGTTTACTTAGAGTTTACTTACTTAGTTAATTCTAACAGGGATTATCTTGCTTGCTTACAGCTCTCATTGTCTAAACTTGAGCTATATGTCCATCTCTCCTACTTGGCCTCAGTGACCCTCACTGGGTATGGAATTATAGTTGTATGCAATACAACTATAATTTCCAGAGACCTTTTCTTCATCAAGAGTTCAGGAACACGATCAGAATGGGACATTCTCTCTTCCAGCAAAGAATCTACACACATTGTTAGATTTTCTATGATGAAGTTGAATTTTAATATAAACTATTTTGTCCATGTTAAGCCATGAAGAAAGTGATATTCAGTTTTTTAAAAACTATAGTGGATAGGTAGACAAAATTTGTAGTGCTTCTGTGGGTTAGATGCCAATGAATGGGAGGTGCCATCTCTGTCAATTGGGAGACTCAAGGGGTAGCCCTGATAACTCCACACACCTGACTTCTAACAAGACCTCCTAGAATAGCCCCTACCTGCAGGAAATTTCCATCCTGCCCAGGCCAGCCTCCCACAGGGAAGTGGTGTCTCAGAGGTTGAGTAAGAAATGAAGCAGGGATTAATGAGCAGACTCGAGAAGGCTGTAAATATCTCCTGCTCTGGTCAGCTCTTCAGTTGGGTTAGCCTGGACTGGTCAGGACAAGATCGCTGCTGTGGCATCTTGAGTGTGTTGGGGGAAGCCAGGTTTGCATCCTTCCTGATGGCCCATCAGGCTACCAACTCTATCCTCAAGCACCTAGGGAGGAATTTGGGTTTCCACTCGGGGGTTCCCTTTAGCTCCATGAACGTTAGTAAATACCACAGTAATAAAGAAAAGGAATGTGATGTAAATGATGCAGGGGAAGGTGGGAGAGAATGAAAGGTGAGACCACTGCCTGCCTCGGAAGGATGCCAGAATGCACAGTTCATGGCCTTTATGGATATCTTGAATGATTTAACTAACCTATGT